CTTTACGTCCGGTTTGCATACCTCAAGGTCATAATATTAATAATAACAATAATAACAACAACAATAATAACATCAACCAGTCATAATGCTCGATAACTCATGTAGAGTTTTACACTAATTCCAGCTGCCACCGTTTCATGTACCAGTCATGTTGGTGTACGAGTAATGCAGCGCACTGACATCCCTGAATTAGGAACCTGGCTGCTCTTACGGGAATCTTGTGATGTTTTTATTAGTTGGGTAGTTACGTATTGCAGGTAATGGGTGGAGGTATAAACGCTTGTATGTGCATGACTGCCATATCTGTCAGCCAGTCCAATGGTTGGCATATCTCGTCTCTATTTCCGACGCGCCCAGCAAGTAACTGATAAGGCTACTGAGCTGGCTTGTTATGATATGCTATTTTGCCAATTTATTGGTCGATTTTTGTAACGTCCCCACTCAGCTGAAGTGCGCTTCATGGTGTTCGGTCTTTGCAGTGCGTGATCAATGCAGCTCAATGTGTTCAGTGTCACCAGTTCGTCTGTCGTTTGACATACCTCAACATTGTTTATCAAATGTTCCCATGGTACTTAGGTGAAACTTCGGAGACACCGGTAGTCAAACTCGAAAGGTTCTCAGGAATTCAATCAACCGGAAAAGGTTTGGAACCGATTGAGAAGTCATCGTCTTAGAAAAGCTGACACGTGTTGGTGTGCGGCCATCGGAAGGAAGAGGGGTCATAATCTGAATTACACTTGACCTCAACCCCCCTCAAACCAAATTGTCCGAACACTCACGACCTCACAAAGACCAGGAAAAATCTACCGGTGGCAACCAAGGTGAATCATCAACTGAAGCACCCTGAAGTGGAAGAGTAACGAACCAAACCCGATCAAAATTAATAAAAAATCCACCAAAGCAAGATTTTGACAACTTCACTAACCGACAAGAGCCGTTAATTGGCACTCAACACTGATCTAGTGTGATAATCTAAAGAGTATTGACTTACCGATTGGCTCCCCGTCTGCCTTATAACCTGGCCAATTTGGTGACCTGCTCACTTGGCCCGATGAAGCTTTTGTATCAAAAGCGAAACGTTGCCCAAATAAAAACTATCGATTGTTTATCAAGCTCTCAAACGTTGTCAGGAATTGTTTTCAAGTACCAGATGGCTGATCCGTTTAACAGCATGCAAGCGTGTAATCTCTACATTGGACAAGTATAGCATTGACCCAAATACGTAGTAAGCTGACTAAAGTCTCCCTTCCTATTTCGTAGGCTTATTTCATTCTTCACCGGATTATAAGCAGCTTATCAGGTAAATAAATCTATCAACCATATCTACTGGCTCACTTAAAAGTACAAGGTTATGGGATTTGGTTACCTTCTTTCTGGGGTTCTTGGACGGGACTTGCACCCACGACCTCCCGCGTCTGGTTCGAGCGTCATTCTCTTCTTTATCACTTATGATGGGTGCTTGAAATACAGGAGATACTACCGAATCACATGAAAGTCTTGCAAAGTCAAAAATTTATGTGATCTTGTGGAGCCCTGTTTATACCTTCCTCTCTTTCTGAATGAATGCTCCCGCATTAGAAAAGTTGGTTCTGGTTTGGAGTCTAAGCTTAGGAGTTCAGGGTAGAATCCCAGTGCGCTACACACTCAGCCACAGCCCACGTAATCAAGGTTGTCGCATTCAACAGGTACCCAGTAATGTCCCGCTCAGCGGTGGTGGCACTGAAGACCGCGTTCACTTTGAGCTGCGGAGTTTCGTTGTGTGGCTTGAGCCCTATAATTTTTTATGTCTGTTCTTCATACCTTGGAGGAGGGTTTCTATCCATGCGTGAACTGCTTCACCCCACCTTCTTCAATAACTGCAACCTTGCCTGCTCCAATCGGTGTTCTGCAGCTTTCTGAATCACTGCGGTCTAAGATTACCATTACTACGAGCAGTGTGTATGTGTCCATTTACACAGACAGTTGAATGAAACCTGATGACCTTTCTCTTCTAACTCCCGTTATTTGTTACCCTGACCAGTCGAAAACCATCGGAAAATTGTTAGTCTATCGTGTATTGTTCTGAAAGTTGCATATCGTCATCAAATACATAAAACGGCCCGCGCCCGTGGAGGCATAGCTCAGTGGTAGAGCATTCGACTGCAGATCGAGAGGTCCCCGGTTCGAACCCGGGTGTCTCCTCCGCTGTTTTCAGACTGCTGGCCTGGCATTTGGTGTTCCTACGGAATGTTTGTTCCTAGTGAATTGCCTTTAACTTTCGTCCTCTTTGTTGTAAATCGGTTGGAGCTCTGGGACAAAAATTTGTCACTCTTTGGTTAACATTTTGACCGGTTGCATTCACCCGAAGATGTCACGGAGACATGAGTTGGTTTTTACTGCATCCCTAATTTGCGTTCATCGGTTGACGGAGCGCATCAACTTAGGCATTAATGGTCGATTCTTTTGGACGCCGAGTTTGAGTGTTGGGCTGCTAGCAGTAGTAGTCAGTTTGAAATAGGAATTCAGATTGCGCCTATGCTACTAACAAAACAATGAGTAGCATGTTTCTAAAATAAGGTAAACGCATACTATCACCTGATGCTATTGGGAACCATCAAACCAGTGTGTGAATCAATTTTAATGAACGAACTTCGTATCCCAACACCTGATGCTATTGGGAACCATCAAACCAGTGTGTGAATCAATTTTAATGAACGAACTTACGTATCCCAATATATTTACGGCATGCGGTTGTCTACTTAGCTGATACTTGATAACAACGCAACCCATTTTATCACAATCGCCAAAAGAGACGTATCTCCAGGTGAATGAAGGGGAATATATGAAAGCAGATCAGTGTGGACAACCAACACTATGGCCTTGATTTCACTGAGTGGACCATAGTTTCACGACACTTTGCTGAAGCGGTGGCGATTCAAATGGAATTTGTGATTGCCTCGCTTTGGCTCTCGAAGTCCGACAATGAATCATGTCCATTGCCCTAGTAATTTCTTTTATCCAGATTTGGGATCTGATAAACTTTGCTGGCCGTAATGGTTGAACTGGAGTATGTATGGTCGTTTGTCAGTTGTCCTGCGCCGGCCTTTGGTTTTGAAAATATTGCTATTGTAAACCTCCGTATACTTGTTATGATAAAAAGTTTACACACTTCAAGACGTCGACGCATGACACCTCGGCCATTCATACTCATTCTTACAACCCTATGTTGATAATTACTGATAGGATAGAAGACTGGTTGTTGATCAGGTGGTTGTTGATCTGTTCACCATGTAGGGCAGTTGACGTGCAAACGTTTCGTCACCATACGAGGAGATATCAGTTGGGTGGGTACCTCCTATTTGCCCACCTGCCTTAACATAGCATTAAAAGGCTACCTATTATCTCCTAAAGTGATTGGCTAGTTGGTTGACAGCGTTTTTCGTGAATTTATTGGTGCGTTAGTGATCTTTGTTGCGCCCGGTTTGTCGGCACATGAGTGGTTGCTACGCTGACTAGGCGGTGCAGACAATCGATGTCCGATGAGTCAGCTTAATGCGGCGTGTTTGTGCGTATGAGAAAAAAGACAAGCCTCGCGATCCAGTGAGCGATTGAGTTGAACAGTCAAGTATATGGGTGACTGCGTCGCTACATCCGCTCCATGTTCTCCATTGCATTGATTGACATCTTTGCGTCCGTTGGGTAATTTGGTACTTTGGTTTATTGATTTGGCGCCTTCTCCGATTTAAGTGACATTTCCGCTTGGATCCGACCCACTTCTTAACGAGTCCCTCATCTGGTTACTTGCTCGGTTCAGAGCTACGTGATTCTTGCGTTCTCTTGCTCAGCGGTTGATAAATGGGTGTACACGGTGATTTGCATTGCCAAACGACAGCTGAAATGTGGTCATGCAGTATGTAGTGCGACAAGTCGCTGTTGACGAAATTCATGGTGGCAAGCAGGTTCGTCGTAGGCGTTGCCTTCGACTTATTAGCGGAGTGATTCTACATTTAATTCGGGCAGTAATAGGAAAAAGGAAGCCATGGGCTTCAGTAGTAATGTGCTCGACATAAGACTCTAACATACGTGACAGGTTTTGAGTTTCCGCATACCGTGGTCGGCTAAATAAAAAGTTGCCAAAGGTCAAAAACACTCCCACTTTACTGACACATAATTAGACTAATAATTTATTTGTAAGTGTGCCTTTAAGCTTCCATTATCTAAGGAAACAGCAGCCTTTTTGACAGGGAACAAGTAATCCAAACTCAGGAAGGTAACAAGCCGATTAATTCGTGCTCTTCTAGCTACGACTAAAAGATGGTTAGGTTTTATGGCTCATTAAAACGAACGTAAAGCAGCACTCGTACTGCTCGCTTCGTATTTCTGATCGGTTCTTGACCGAAAATGTAAGGTTGTTCTTCATAAACAGGGATGCCATGCTGTGAGCAGAAACAATCCATTGCAACCTTGTTTTAAGCACAATTTCAGACAGCAAGTTTAATTGTCCGACTGTGTTATCCTTACGGGTGAACTCATCGTCTGTCTAGCCGCATATCCTGCTTATTCACTCACTTGTGCAACTTGTACATATTTCATAATTATGACGTCTCATTTACTGTGGAGCGCATCGTCAAAGATGAAGAACTCATATCTGGCTTCTTTGGACTTTTCACCTTCGAGTTTTCAAACGCATTTGACCGGGTTTCACACATCACACTGTGCTGCATGTGCCTGAGGCCTACAGCGAATGTAAAAAGGGGGCTCAAGCGGATTTCCCACTAGCCTTTATCCTCTGAATACAAAACAATGAAAAGTTTGGAGTAATCTGTACCGCATTTTCAACCGTAGCAGTTCATTTGTTTACCGGGGGGAATTTTCTACGCCCTGTTTACATGTACTTCCCATTCAGATCCCCATTGGGGAGTTTTTCTGTCGCGGATGGTACTTGCTTTGTGTTAGATCATATGACTAACCAGAATAACGTTTGAAAAGTTCTGGAAATCAATATTAGAACCAGACACATTCGACAACCACTGAAATACTAACATTCAACTGCGACTGATAGACCCACCAAATACATGCATCAGAGCTAAAAACTCAACATGGATCAGCTCAGGAACAGTTCACCATTGGACTTACAAGCTATAAGTCCAATGTTTCTTCAGGCTAGCGACTGTCCTAATTATCGGCTAGACGATCACTTTCGTTTAACAGATGATTCTGAAACATCGAGTATAGGTATTTGGCTTGAAATGGATCGAAACTTGAATGCACTCGAAGACAGACATGAAAACAAACCAAGTGAGTTAGAAGACATGAATATCGAACGGATCGGAAGTTTCCAAAGTAGCCGTATCAGTCCTACAAATGTTGAACATACCAGCCCAGAACATAACCTCACATCGCTGGGAACTCATGTAGCACCTCTGAGACGAGAAGCAAGGCCTTCAACCCATTCAGGTACAGTGAAATACACTACAAATCTTCGAGCCCTTTCTCCAGACGGGAATATTGTCCAATCAGAAATAATACGCAATTATGAAATACCAAGTGACATTATTGCGGAAGGGTCAGATGTACCAATTGTTGACGAAACAGATGAGCATGGAATATGGTTAGATGGTTTGAAAGGGCATCAAGGCAAAGAATCTATTACAAATATTAATTTCTCTACCCACCTCAAAATTTCCAAAACTGCAGAAGGGTCAGTTATGGGATCAGATATTTCAGAGAGTGAAAATCGTCCCGCCAGTTCTACAATTCCACTTGGAGCGAGCGCGGTGACGCCATTTGGGTCACCTGAGGCAACATCAAACTCCCAGCAAGAGCCGTCAGGGACAGTAGATTATCTGGCTGAGGCCAATCAACAAGATCGCATGAAACAAAAGCGGAAAGAAACAGAGTCTCAAAAGGAACAACAGGACATTGCAAAAGAGGAAATGGGACAAGAACCTGACGGAAAACAGACGCATGATGGATTGTATGCTCTAGAGCAAAACGTAGGAGACTCAAGTCAGAATACCGTCAGCCGCGAGCAAGAAACAAATAAAGAAAACCTAGAGGGTCAAATCACTTTGGACGAAAAAGATGATGGGAGACAGCGATTTGAACGTCCCAATTCACAGGATTATCAGACTGAGCCAAACGCTCTGGATGATCATGGCAATCTACTTGAGGGTTTTGGACTACCACCCGGAGATAAAGCTCGGAGGGTAAAACCTGTTGATGACAGTGCGCAAGGAACATGTACGTCTTCAAAGATCACCGATGCCTCACGAAGCCACATTAGAAAATTACATGTGCTTTTGAAAGACACGTGCAAAGACCTCGAAGAAATACAATCGGGCATTTCTCAGAAGGATTTCAGACCGTGCAAGCCGTTTATTGAACATATCGACCAGATCCCAAATACACTGAACAACTTGATACCCACACTAGAATATAGCCCTTACGAGGAAGATCTTTGGAAAGCGCATGAAGGGATTGTACGTGTATTGGAAGAGACCAAGAAAAAGCCACCACTGATTATCCTACACTTACTTGAACTGGGATTCTACATATTCGAAGTTGGCACACTGCTGTGCGAAGATTTGCTTCCGTCATGTTTTGCACACTTGGTGCATGCAATTCTCTCACGAGTACAAGTAAGTTTCGAAGTTTCCGGTGTTTTGGCTCCAATAAGGAGTACCTGATAGTTGGGATATCTCATATTATAAGTTCATTTGTTTTCTTGCGCGTGGTGCAACTCGACAGTCGCAGAGGTTGAGGGGAAATTTTACGGTCATCAAACTTTTCAGCATGGCAACGTGAATACTTCCTGGGACATAACGCTCAAGTGTTTGAATCCGGTTGTTTAATTGACCTAAAAATGAATAAGCAAAGTCAAAGCTTACAACACTGCAGGTTTGTCTGAACAACCACCCTTAATTATTCCCGAGTAAACCCTCGGTGGAGTATTTCATTGTAGAAGGGGTGACCACACTCGTCTTGGACTGTGGCTATAGAATGTTATTTATATTTAAGTGTTTCGAAGAATTTTGAGTGTGGGGTAGAATTTTTCAGATACTGTGGTGTGAATGTTCGACTTGTTTAATAGTCAACGACTATATGGATGGACCAATAATAGGTGACTAAAAGAATTACGATGTACAAGGCAAATTGTCGGAACTATTGGTTCTAATCTAATAGGGAACACTAACAATGGTGAGTTACTGTGTCTCAGTACTGTGTCATCCAGTACTTCAACCAACATTTCTTCAGGGATATATTTCAACGACAGATGGGCGTGTGGGGGCCAAAGTGAACCGCATCACTCCTACTTTTGAAGTACTCGGTAGAAATGATAGTCTGGTAATAAATCCCGGTCAGTAGCAAAGGACATTTTCACGTAAGCCATTCTTCATAGACAGCGAGGCAGCCACTCGAAGTACTAGAAAGCCATAAGTGGCTCGCAGGCGAATCGCTTCTCGCGGAGTTTTGGCGTTCGTGTTTATTGTTACTTGTCGTTTAGGTCAGCCAACAAAAAGCCGATTGACATTTCCCGAGAGGGTAACGAAACATTTGTAATCGAACGGTCAAGTTCGACATGCTCGTTAATACTTCTAGAGACAGGAGTGACAAATCTAGCGCTTTGAGCTTCTGAGCGAACAACCAGAGAACAAACGCGACATCATTGGTTTGTGAGTGAATATGAAGGCAGTAAGTAGGCCCACAACAGGAAAAGTTCCGCCCGTCAGCGAAGTGGCACTTACGTTTGGCGAAGAGCAAATTACCCGTTCGGCCATAATGTGCAATTCCTGAGGCGTACAGATAAGATGAAATTTATAAGTTAGCAGGTGAGAACAAAACAGTGATAAAATTATGAGCTCATAGAAGGTTTCCTCGAAGAAAGCGTTCCTTGTCAAAAAGGCGAAATGACAGATAAGTTTCGTTCACACAGACTTTGGCGGGTGGAATTCACAACGAAGTTAAATTAACGGTCCTTCCCATAATTTTGACACACGAAGCATAAGGAAGATTAACATCAATTTTATAGTAAATTATTACTGTTCACATCTCAATATCCATATATATACTACTGAATAAAAGAAATGACTGCCTATTAGTGAAGTGTCACACAGTGATCCACTAGTCCATCATAACAGCCCTGAAGCATGCTAGTAATTAACAAAATCTTACAGTACCATCGGCTGCTCTCATTGGATTGGAAGCTAGACACAGAAATGGTGGTAAAATAGACTGCTTACCTCGTTTCTTAAGGGCCATCACCATAATTCCTAGGTCACACTATCACGCCACATAGTCAGCAGGCAACTGTTCTCTATTACCAGGATTGATATCTTTCGTTGACCGCTTTCGAATCAAATACCCCTGTTGCAACCTAATCAGATGATTTCTTCGCCGCAGACTAATCCGCTTCATATGTTTTTAAAAGACCAGCGGGATAGTTCTGTGAGTTGGGATTCCGCAAAATCCTGGCAATTTTTAGCCTAGCGCTAGAATAGTAACAATGTCGGTTCGGTGGGTGACGTCGGAGACTGTAAGTGGTTATACGCATTTGCTGACAGCCTCTCCGAAAATCCATCCCCGAATTAGTGCCATCTGCTGGTGCTGTCAGTCGCAGAGATGCAGTGAACGGCTACCCAAGGTTCTACAAAGGCTCGAACGATTGCTCGAGCGCTTACATTTTCTACTTCGTTGAAAATCACCATGGACCTCGGTTTCGACCACCCGGATTAGCATCTCCGCGCGGGGATCTTCAAATTTGCTGCTAACAACCTCTTGAAATGTGTTGTTTCATCAATAAAGATGTTAAACAAGCTCTCCCGTATGTTTATGTGGATGACATCAGACGATCAAGTAAAGCGATCAGTGGGTAGTAAATACCGTTGGAGAATGGTGAAGGGCCGACCAATTCCATTCCGATGTGCGTCAACCAAGGGCTTACCTGAAGCAGCCGATAAATGGAAAACGTTGGATCTTGATCTTTTGGGAGCCTCGTGCGGGCCCATTGGCATGTTTCTTTGCGTACTGGACTAAAATGTCAGAATGATGACAGCTCGGCTGTAACGTGGATGCCAAGGTAGGGACTTTACTTCGGGACATCGAAAATGGTGATACCTCCGGATGGTCTCAGGTACTGCTTTTCACTCTCCAAAGCCTTACCGGGCTGTTAAAGTATGAAATCTTCGCTCTACTTGAGTGGCAACTTGACGGCTGCCTGTTTGGCTTCCCTGTATATTTTTCGACTCCTAATGGGCTACCAGAACTCGTTTATGATATTTCTCAACTGAAGATGCCACACACAGACCGCCTCACTTTTCAGTCGTCATGATGGTCAAGATGTCGTGGCAACTTTTTTGGAGTAAGTTTGCTGAAGACTCTTTGACAGCCTACAACTGGTGTGCAAATTAGTGTGCAATTGAGTGTTTCACGAAATGCATGTAAGTTGGGTTCAGGTGGAACATAAACTTGACGAAAACTCGGGGACTGTTTTTATATGACGAGCCTCAGGAAATGTAACACCGGTCCGAAGTAGCTCAAAATGTCAAAACTGGCATTAAAACAAGCAAGATAACAAACTAGTCTTGTTCTCACACTGGACTCGCCTGACATTGATGTGTGCTGTATATCTGAAACAAGAATTTAGGATGCAAGCACAGTGGTTGAGATAACTGCCTCATCACTCTACACTCGCTTTCGGCTGTGCATTTCTGGTGGCTAAGAGCCGCCGCGGAAGAATATGCATGGGTCGGCATTGTCCTACGTAAATGGATAGAAGGATTCTTGACCGACTGGATATCCAATGATAGTTACCTTTGTGTGGTTCGTCTGGAAGCGTCCACGAAGGAGTCTCAGAAGAGGGAAGTTGATTGCTTTTTATTTACCGTGTCTGCTTGTGCCTCTCACAGCACCAAATACAAGTTGTATGACACAGTGAATGCTCTGCTGCCGAGAGCTAGAAGCTCAGATGTAGGAGGTAGTAGCCGGAAATATGAATGCACAAATGAACAGGTTTAGCTCCCCTGAGACTCATTTAGGTGGTCGACATAGACTGGACTCGATAAGTACGGACAATCGTAAACGAGTCTTTCATCTATGTACTGACCACAGGCTGCTTTTGTTCGGTGCCACTTTCGCGAATGGCTGAAGTCGTCTGACCACATGGTGCCCTTCAAAGGCGTGCCGGCTACAAATTCAAAATAATCATTGTACTATCCGAGCAACTACGGATCTCACAGGACGATTGCGGCTACGGATTATACGCAGTTAGTATTCAGTATGCAATAGGAACAGATGGACTGGGGCAGTAGATGATGTATTGGGAACTGAGCAACTACGGATCTCACAGGACGATTGCGGCTACGGATTATACGCAGTTAGTATTCAGTATGCAATAGGAACAGATGGACTGGGGCAGTAGATGATGGGGAAGGAACTGTCAAGAACTGGTTCTATAGACAAACGGGTTATTAAACATCGTGAAATGAGCAGAGCGAACAATCAATGATGGCACAATCAACAGGAGCACGAAAGTAGTCATTGAGGCAGCAGGGAATTCTGGAAGCAGCAGAAGTAAGTACCAAACGATATACAGACGTACAGATACGGCAATCAGTTAGTGTAAATGGCCGTAAAGAGGGATAACGGCGCAAGAAATATCAATACGTTCAGGAGGTAAGGAACTGTCTTTAGCAGAGGGTGCGAAGCGGCAGCTCGTGTCGCCTGAAAAATCGGATTGTGCGCCTAAGTCCGTTTAAAACAAATCTCAACAAATCTCAAAGACAAACGGGCAACATATATTGACATCGGTTTCTAGAGAATCAGAAGACCTTAAGTAGGAGCGAAACCGGGAAAACGAGCGACAAGTTAACTGAAGAGGCGTTGGATCACGCCTACCTCATCGTTACATCACGCTACTCATGAGTAGTGAGGAAAGAAGAGAACCGTTGATCCCCAGGAGGAATCAACAACCATATTGCCATCAATTCCGGTAGTGCCGATCAATAAATGGGTGCCGCTCATGTTGGAACGCGCTTGTGAATTCTGATCATGCGCTCGCCCGGAGTTGCTTCCTCCTCCATTTTCCAGGGTTGCGGAAGGTGCGGAAAAGTCGCTTGGCGCTACTAGGCCCGCTCAACACCAGACCGAACAGTGGCAATACATGAATCTCGGAAAAGTGTTCACACTGCTCTCGAACATAATTCAGACAAATGAATTAATAAGTCCAACTGAAGCTGAGCGTGCGCACCGACCACCTGATTGACACGGAATGCTACTAAAGTAGATGTCCGGAAAACCGGAAATGCCTGAAGATTATTTCACTCGATGCCTGCGGCCGGTTCTAGAAAACCGCTTGTGACCGAGAAGATCAAGGATCAAAGTGGCGCGACCATCTGGAATAAAGGAAATCTCCTCGGCCGCTAGGCCATATCAACTGTGACTACTGGGGTGACAAACTCAACCCTTCTTTTTTGAACTTCTTTAGAGAGAGGTCTGATATAAGTCACAAATCCACATGGGTGAATCTTTCGGCTGATATGCTAACTTATGTCAAGCACATGTGTGACGTTTTTCTTCACCTTCAGTCGGTATTTCATTGATAAGGTTGGCACTTGCTTGATGCGCCACGAGCCTTCAAAATTTAGAGTGATTCTGTGCAACTGGGTTGGAATTATCCTGTCTGTCTGGTTGTTGGTCTGCTCGTCACTGTTGGCAGTTTGATTTTCATCATCACCAGTCGAGGTGACGTCTTAATTGCGGATTTGATTGGCGATATCACTGACGATGTTACTCTGATCGGTGATGAAACATTTGTAGTCCCACTGCCAAGATCGGCAAATGGATAAATAACGAAGCAATGGACCCGAGGTGGTGTATCGATTACGCCATCTGCTGCGCAATTAGAACACACTATGTGGTTTAGCTTTGATTTACGCTTTTCCTTATCCTTTTCCTCTAGGTTTAAGCACACAATCTCAGAAGCAATGTAGATATGATCAGACAACTAGCTTTCCTTGTGTTATGCTGATGACTTTCGATGGGTTATTGGTGAACGTCTGCACCACGATCTGTCCAGAGCACGGTCCAAACTTTAATCCTCTCTTAGTGCACGAAAACCCATACAAGCCCATATCATCGACCTCAACAATCTTTGTATCGTAGCAGAATAGGAGGGAAAATATTGGTCTGATAATAGAAATGTGCCAGCAATAGGTTCAAGCCGAGGGGCTAGGATACCTGGAATGCAAAAATGCACTATGGCTTTTTACCGTTGAAAACGCTGTTAGGCTTATAAGAAATGACTGACCGAAAAAGATCAACCTTAAAAGTGTGTATCATTTCTGTTGGGATACGATTACACCCAGAGGCTATCCCTTTACATGCCAGTATACAACACACTAACTCAATCAATCAATCAATCAATCAATCAATCAATCAATCAATCAATCAATCAATCAATCAATCAATCAATCAATCAATCAATCAATCAATCAATCAATCAATCAATCAATCAATCAATCAATCAATCAATCAATCAATCAATCAATCAATCAATCAATCAATCAATCAATCAATCAATCAATCAATCAATCAATCAATCAATCAATCAATCAATCAATCAATCAATCAATCAATCAATCAATCAATCAATCAATCAATCAATCAATCAATCAATCAATCAATCAATCAATCAATCAATCAATCCTATTACCATCTATAAACCGTGTGCCATAGGCACATTGGTTCCAGCTGCTACACTTTCAGTCACCGGCAAAAGGGGAAGTGGAACACACAACCAAGCCTTGCAGGCAGAGGCATGCTCAGTTTGATCGGAAATTGGGTAGCTATGCATTGATGGCGACAGTACTGATGCACGAGTGCCACTGACTGCGCGTTGGGCCATTTCCGCCAGCGTCACTAACCACTGGTGATTTGAGCCCTGGGGTCTCCATCCAGGGAGGCAGCAGTTGCCCACCCGACTAAGTTTACCGATTAGCGTCTTCATAGTTCGTTGCCAGGTCATACACTTACCACATCTCGGCCACTTCTACTCAGCACAGGGCTGGGTGAAAAGAGCCCTGGGGGGCAGACGATTTTCTGGCATGCTGAATACATGACCCAACCATCGCAGCCTATGAAGCGTTAGTCATTCATCTAACGCGGGAGAGTTCCTTCTTTCTAAGACGATTTGGCGTACTTCAGCATTACTGATGCAATGTTCCCACCAGAGTTGACCAGTGCTTTGGGGACACCGATGACCAAACATTGACATTTTCCGTATGTCCTCTGAGCGGATGGGCCACGTCTCTGATCAGTAAAGCAGTATGGATCGCACCACCGCAGTGTAAACAGACAAACTGACGTAACGTTGGAGCCATAGATATCGGTTGGTAAAAGCTGCCCTGGCCTTCCTGATTAAAAAATCATCTCATCTCCAGCAAGTCCACTGGAACGTAGACAGCTGCCCAGGTAAACAAATTTATCTACCACGTCGATTGGCTCACCGGCAAGCATGAGATGTGGGTTTGATTCCACCCAGTCTTGTAGCAGCACTTTAGACGTTGCAGGTATGAAGCGCACTTCAGACCGTGCGGCAGAGTTATTTAGGTTATTTAAAATCGTTTGCATTTGGGAAGGATCTGAACCAGGGAGAGCAATATCGTCTGCAAACTCGATGTCTGTGGGAAAACTTACCGGGAGCATTTCAACTCCGGAGGTTTCAGAGGCAGGCAGTGGGATTTCAAGCAGCATATCAATAACAAATTTAAAGAGGAAAGGGAAAAGAGGACAGCCTTGTGATGAACTCAGGCGAGAGCTTCTAATATACTGTACGCGCCCACAGGAGTTCTCTCTTAAGGGAGGGAAATTTGGAAAGGACACCTTTGATCGCCAGACACTGCCAAATTTGCCGACGATGGACAGAATCAAAAGCAGATTTCAAACCCAGAAAAACGATCAACGTGGGACGCCTGAATGACTGGTACTGTTGAAGAATTTGTCTCAAGGCAAAGATATGGCCGATGCATCCTCGACAGGGTCAAAACCCAGCTTGATTCTCACGAATCTTTTTCTGCCGAAAATCCAGCAATTTGCGCAAAACAATTCCAGAAAGTACCATAAATGCGACAGATGCCACGATGGTTTTCACATGATGTTCTTGCTCCCTTTTTTGAAAATTGAGATGACGGTTGAGGAGCTTCATTCTGCTGGTTTTCTGTTTTCGTTTCAAATCTTCTGCAGTGTGTCAGACTGTGAGTGTCAGACTCTTCACCAGCTCCTCATCACCCTTTGAATAACAGAGCCACTTGTCAGTTCGCGTAATGGATCAAAATCGCTCGCTTGGCTCACTAGCTGTGGATC